TGCGGAGCTTTCGTCACCTCAAACGAGTGGAAATTGGGCAAAACCTGCAGCACCGCCCTTGTCCTCCCTGCCAAAACCTCAGTGCTGCTCCCATAAAATAAGAGCCCAAAGTGTCACCAGAGATGAAGGGGGGGCAGCAGGGGACCCGCGTGCAGAGGGATGTCACTCACTTGCAACGGGGCAAAGCCAGGGGACATTGCCCATCTGTGCGGATGTCACCAGCCTCTGTTGAGCCCCTTGCTGGTGGCTTTGGGGCACATTTAGGAGCCTGGCGCCTCCCTCTGCTCCAGCCCCCTCCCCCGGGCAGTGGCAAAACCCAGGAATTTCCAATTAAAAGTAATAGCAAAGGAAAAGCGGGAAGGGTCTCACCTCTTCTCGGGTTTTTGGGAGGAGGAAGGAGCTGCTCCGCATCCCTTAAGGGAAAGCGGCCGCTGCCGACGGCTCTTTGCAAGGATGAGAACAAGGACCTGGCTAGCAGGTGCCCAGGGAAATGAGGGAGAGGGCCTGGAAACCGGGATGCGCCGGTGCCGCAGAGGGGACCCCTCCTTCCTGCCGCCTCCGTCCGTACACGGGATGATCCCCCATGAGGACACGCTCAGTCCTCTGGCCATCGCCTTCTTCCTCCGGCTGAGTTTTGGGACGTGCCACGGATCTCCAGCGGTGGCACGGGATGGAGGAGGCACCTCGTCCTGCTGCCCGGGGACCCCGTCAGCTCCATCCCATGCTGCTGCCTCTCGCCGAACCCTCGCAGGGTTTTGGCCTCTTTGGGAGGGAACGAGGGACGTTCAAGAGCCGGTGACCGAACGGGAGGCCGGACAGGAGCTGGCTGGGAACCAGCTCACTGCTGTCATCTTGGCCAGAGCGCCAGCCTGGCCGCACAGCTCGGCAAGAACATCACCACGGGGCGTTCACTCTGAAACCTAATGACGGCACCGCAATAACACTGAGTACTTCATCTCCAAGGGTCGGATTCATTAAGTCTTCAGCAAACGAACATCACGTGGGTGTCAAAACGAATCCCCAGGCAAAGAGCTCGGCCACGGCACCTGGGACGTGGCAGGGGCAGGAGGGCGCAGAGAGCAGGGCCGGAGGCGCAGGCGGGAGCTGACTCCAGCTCGCGGGCGTCTTTATTCGGACTCGAGTACTGCTTGACAGGTCGCGGCATGCGGACAGGACGGGGGCGAGCGGGGGGCTATTGCCTCGATCACGGAGATAGGGAACAGCGCTGGAAAGACCGCGAGCCGGGCGGCTTCGCCCCGATGCCGCTATTGCTTCCCACAGCCCCAGCACAGACACCCGCCT